TTTTGAATGAAATAATCATTTTACTATCATCACTTCACTAAAACATGTTTAGAATATACTTTTGAGTGTGTTTTGATGGTAATGTTATGTTCCACTTCACTCCCTGTAAACTTTAAGCAACGGATTATTTTATAACTCCTAAACCAGGACCACATATATATATATATATATATATATATATATATATATATATATATATAACCCCCAAGTTGGGAAACTTCAGAATAACACACTTGAAATGTTAATATTACCTTAAAAGTGAACTGAAAAGGAACCACCTAAAAGGGAAAAGGGAAAAAACAAGAAAAGAAGAAAAGAGATATAGGAGCTAGCTAAGTGTTTTAAGAGAATTTTATCGACACCCTTTTCCATTTTGTTGATAAGCTCTATTCTTTTTTGCATGATTCCTTTTCCATCTGCTTAGGAACAAAATTGTCCTTTCCAGTATATCACTATTCATGATCTCTTGCACTATGCTGACACTTTATTCACCAGAAAAATATAAGATTCATTTTTGTTAATATTGAATAAGGTATATTAGTAATGTTGGTATTGGTTATACTTGCATTAGTTGTGTTGACATTAGTTATGCCGACATATTTCTTATCTATTGTTTGATTTGATGTATTAAAGCATTGCACAATTTTCAAAGGAATTGTTTGTTTACAAAAATACCCTCATAACCAGTCCATCACTTTATCTTTTTAAAAGAAACATATGTTAAGAAATATTTTTATATAAAGAAGGTTTAAAAAAAATTATTTGATTTGTCTACCTATATTGTAGTATAGAACTGAATATTTATTTATAAAAAAAATGCTAAGTATTTATTTATCTACTAGAAAAATAATTTTATTCTCACTTTCTTGAATTATTAGGCAAAGAAAGTTTGAATTAAAAGAATAAAAGAAAAATGAGTTGATTACAAGTGCATCCCGTACGTAAAAGTAGAGTACATACTTATAAATTTACAATGAAGAAATTGGCGGAGTCTAGATATGAAAATAGCGGGAGCAATTTCAATATCAAACTTTACAACAAACTTGCATTAATATAATAGCATATTTTAATCAAACATAAATTTTGAAGGGCAATTATGTCTTTAATTAAGTTAATGTATGCATTAAAATTTATTGCATTGGTAATACCATGGTTTCCTATGCATTAGTTATGCATAGGATAATACCAAATATGGTGTATAATTAATGCATAGGTTCAAAAAGTGTACCAAATAAGATATTTTTAATACACAAAATTAATGCATGCATTATTTTATCTAATACATCCTACCAAATGACTCCTACGTGTGAATGTGCGGATATATTATATTGTATGTATGAATTATCAGAGTTTATAATCAAAAGTCGCCAGAATCATTTGATATATATGTGTGTGCGTGTTTTAATCCAATGTGTCTTGACGTATCATGACTTTTTTTCTGTACTTCTGTTTGGGTCTCTTGTAAAAGTGATGCCACATAAACACTATTCTGATTAGGTTATCATACCATATAAGATATTTGATGGACTAAATATATACACTTGTTAGCAAGTAAAATACACTTGATGGGCTAAATCACAATTACCAGTCGACCAACAATAAACGAGCCGTCGAACCAGTTTGATAAAATAACGCTTTGGACTCGATCACTATTATGCCAATAAAACAAGGAAAACCACCCTTTAATTGTATTTGAACATTTACAATTAGAGTAGAGGCATGTTAGTTGTGGTAGTTACATTGTGAATAGGTATTTTAGTCCTTTCACCTAATCTACACATAATTGAATCGTGTGAGCTCATATGAGCTGAGTTGTATATAACTAACTCACTCTGTATTAACAGAGCAGTTAGTCACATAATGAAAGATTCACTTTCTTCTTCCTCTCTCATTCTCTGATTTTCATTCTAGCTTCTTTTCAATCGCATGCAATTGCTTTTTCTGCTAGATTTGTACACATTCTATCATGGTATCAGAGCAGGTGATTTGAGATTAGATCGAAGAATTCAAAATTCTAATTGACGGCCACTTTTGAAGCTTAAGTTGGTCAGTCATGGCGGAAACTGAAAATCTGCAAATTGATCACAATCACCCGCTGTTTTTACAATAAACTGACACTCCTGGAATAGCGTTGATAGATATCAAGCTTACAGGACCAGAAAATTACCCCTTATGGAGCAGATCGATGAGAATGGCCTTATTGATGAAAAACAAGTTAGGATTCATAGATGGAACCTGTTTAAAAAGCTCTTACAGAGGAGAATTAGGGCATCAATGGGAAAGGTGTAATTATGTGGTGCTTTTGTGGATAGGTCGCATTGTATCTACTAAGCTAAGTATCATCTACGCATTAGATGCGGGGAAGGTATGGAATGAATTTAAGGAACATTTTAACAAGTCAAACCTTATTAGATTTTATCACTTGTGGACGACAATAGGAACACTGAGGTAAGGAACTGACTCTATAACCTCCTATTATACTAAGATGAAGGATTTATGAGATGAAATGGCTTTAATGGTGCCAGGAGCAGGATACGACCGTGAGGAAACCAGGCCTTTTTTAGATCAGTTTAAGAACTTGCACTTGTTGTAATTCCTTATTGGTTTAAATGAAAGCCACAGTCATATGAGAAGTGAGATTCTACTTAAAACATATGTGTTGACTGTGAATCAAGCATATACATTAGCAGTTCAGGAAGAGAGCCAGCGTACACTTATGTGGTTAACTCAGACAAGGAGCCTTTAACTATGCTAGCTGGAAGAGGATAAGGTTTCAAGGCAAGAAGGAAACCAGGACTCATATGTGATTATTGTGGCTATAAAGGTCACTTAAAGGAGAATTGTTACAAGATTATAGGCTATCCGCCAGACTTTAAAAGCAAAAAAAAACCTCAAAACTCTGGTGTGAAGGGCTATGCAAATGTGTCAGCTGGAGAAGGAAGGAGCTTTAATACACAGGGGTACTACTTCACAGAGGATCATTACAAACAGCTATTGGGACTCTTGAACAAACCAGATTCTGATCCAGGTGATTGTCATACTCTGATGTCAGGTATAACTTCATTGTTGTCCAAGGCATTTAACTATGATTGGATAATAGATACAAGTGCATCACATTATGTTACACCCAATAAAGAAGTATTAGAAAATATACAAAAATAACAATGGTGTGCAAGTACCTACAGGAGGTAAATGCCATGTAGCACACCTAGGAAATGTGAAGATATTAGAGGATTTGACACTAAGGGATGTCCTACATGTTTCGGACTTTAAATTCAATCTAATGTCAGTCTCTAAACTTTACTAAGGAGCTCTCATGTTGTGCTGCATTCTTCCCTGATTTCTGTGTATTTTAGGGTCTTTACAGTGGGAATGTACTGGGAATTGGTAATGCAGCATATTCCTCTATTAAAGAATAAGGTAGATACCAAGTTACAACATAGGTGTGAAATATGTCCTTTAGCAAAGCAAAATAGATTGTCTTTCCAGCCTAGTACTAGTAAAACAGATCAGATTTTTCAACTTGTTCATGTAGATGTTTAGGGTCCTCACAAGATACTAACATATGACCAAAAATACTACTTTGTAACTCTGGTGGATGATTTTAGCAGATATACTTGGTTATTTTGTTACAGTCTAAGTGTGAAGTAGTTGTTGTGTTGAAGGATTTCTTTACTATGGTGCATAATCAATTTGGTTGGATGTCAAAAAACTGAGATCAGATAATGGAACTGAGTTCTTCAATTCAAAGTGTAATGAGTTGTTGGCTTCATTAGGAATTTTGCATCAAAGTAGTTGTCCATACACACTCCAATAAAATGGGGCGGTGGAGAGAAAACACAGGCATATACTGGAGGTAACTAGAGCCTTGAAGTTTCAAAGCTCCTTATCAAACAAATTCTGGGGAGACTGTGTAAAAATAGCAGTTTACTTGATAAACAAGAGGACAACTTCTATTATGTCAGGGCAATCACCCTATGAGGTTCTTTATAAGAAACCAGCTAAGATTGAGCATTTAAAGGTGTTTGGTTGCTTGTGTTTTGCAAGCACTCTACCAAAAGGAGATAAGTTTGCTCCAAGAGCTAGGAGGGTTGTAATGATAGGGTATTTAGAGACTCAAAACGGCTACAGATTGTATGATTTGAAGAGTAGGACATTCCTAGTAAGCAGGGATGTCATATTCAGAGAGCATGTATTTCCTTTCAAAGGAATGATCTCAAACCTGGATGACATATTTTCACAAGATCCTCCTGAGCTAATGCTTATTGATGCACCTTCTAATTCTAACACCTTTCACCCCAATTCTCATGATATTCATGCACCAGATGACAATGCTTCTCCAATTACCACACAAGCAGAACCACAGAATCAGCTACTTGAAGAATTGCCTACAGACAGTGTTGATCATTTATCTCACAAGACCATAAAGTGGCAGATGAGCACAATATTCATCCATATCCTTTAGCTGCAGATGCAGTTGAAGAAGTGGCAGACATTCCAACTGAAGGAAATGCTACGATTGATACGAGGAAATCAACAAGACACTCTAGACCACCTATATGGTTAAAAGATTATATGACAAAAGGGAAGTTCACAAGCAACAGTCTATATCTAATCTCACAAGGACTTTCATATGCAAACCTCACGAAAGGATATCAGTCCTATTTGAAATCCTTCCTAGCATAAAAAGAAACCTGGTTCATTTAAGGAAGCTACTCAAGATAGCAGAAAGGTTGAGGCAATGCAGCAGGAGATAAATGCATTGGAAGAAAACAACACATGAAAGCTGGTTGATCTACCACCAGGGAAGCAGGAAATTGGATCAAAATGGGTCTAAAAGATAAAGCAAATGGAGAGTTAGAAAGGTTTAAGGCCAGATTGGTGGCCAAAGGTTACAACCAAAAGGAGGGCCTAGACTATCATGACACTTTCTCTCCAGTGGCAAAAATGATAACTGTTAGAACCATTATCAGTATTGCTGCAGCAAAAGGATGTCAACAATGCCTTCTTACAAGGTGACTTATATGAAGAAGTCTACATGGCCTTACTACAAGGATTTCATAGACATGGGAGAGAAAGGTTTGCAGGCTGCTAAAGTCACTTTATGGATTGAAACAAGCGTCAAGACAATGGAATATAAAGCTCATTGATGCCTTGATCACGCATGGCTACACACAGAGTACATTTGATCAATCTCACTTCAGCAAAAGATAAGGCTCAGATATGGTCATCATACTGGTTTATGTAGATGATTTATTAATTGCAGGAAGCAATTCTCAGCTAGTCAATGAAGCTAAGAAGACATTGCAAAGTCAATTCAAAGTGAAGGATTTGGGAGAATTAAGATACTTCCTTGGTATTGAGGTCCTCAGATCACAAAAGGGGATCCTACTGAATCAAAGCAAATATGCGCTTGAGTTGATTTCAAAAGTAGGCCTAAGTGGTTCTAAGCCTGTTTCAACACTTCTGGAGTTGAATCAAAAGTTTACCACTGTAGAATATAATGCTTATGTTTGGAGAATAGGAGATCCAAAATTAGATGACATCACTGCATATCAGAAGTTGATTGGGAAGCTCCTATATTTAACAATCACACGACCTGACATTAGCTTTGCAGTCCAAACATTAAGTCAGTTCATGCAAAGTCCAAAACAATCTCATATGGATGTAGCCTTAAGAGTGGTTAAATACATCAAAGGAGCACCAGGTCTATGAGTTCTTTTGCAAGCAAAGCCAATTGACAGTTTGATCGCTTACTGTGATGCAAATTGGGCAGCTTGTCATAATACTAGGAGATCTGTGATAGGATATATTGTTAAACTAGGTAGTTCTCTGATTTCATGAAAATCTAAGAAACAGCAAACTGTCAGCAGGAGCTCAGCAGAAGCAGAATATAGGAGTATGGCAGTTGTGGCAGCAGAAATAACTTGGTTATCATGCCTTCTTAAAGAACTAGGGATACCAATCTCTAAACTTGCTCAGTTATTCTGTGACAACAAAGCAGTTATTCAAATACTCCCTCCGTTTCAATTTATGTGAACATATTTTCTTTTTAGTCCATGCCAAAAAGAATGACTCATTTCCTTATTTGGAAACAATTTACCTTTATGCAATGATTTATAGCCACACAAAATATATGTGCCTCATTTTATACCACAAGTTCAAAGGTCTTCTCTCTTTTCTTAAACTCCGTGCTCAGTCAAATGGGTTCACATAAATTAAAACGGAGGGAGTAGCTGAGAATCTTATATTTTATGAACGCATCAAACACATAAAAATAGATTGTCACTTTGTGTGACAGAAAATCAAGTCTGGGCTCATAGCACCTCACCATGTTAGCTTTGATCTTCAACTTGCAGACCTGCTCACAAAGGGTCTTTCTATTCCTTAGCATAACTTACTAGTTTCCAAACTTGGAGTATTGGATGTCTTTCACCCTCCAGCTTGAGGGGGAGTATTAGAGTAGAGGCATGTTAGTTGTGGTAGTTACATTAGTTACATTGTGAATGGGGGTATTTTAGTCCTTTCACCTAATCTACACACGTGAATCGTGTGAGCTCATATGAGCTAAGTTGTATATAACTAACTCACTTTGTATTAACAGAGCAGTTAGTCACATAAAGAAAGATTCACTTTCTTCTTCCTCACTCATTCTCTAATTTCCATTCTTTCAATCGCATGCAATTGCTTTTTCTGCTAGATCTGTACACAGATTCTATCATTTACATATAACGCTTTTCATTTTATTTATTCTTATAGTTATATATCATCGATAAAACCTTTCTTACATAAGTTAGACGAGTAAGTTTAGTAAGTTGTTAGCAAAAATACATTTCTCAGTTTACTAAATCATGTTTTAAACACGCCCCCTTATGTGTGTATGGTCAACAGTCTAGCCTAGTTACTTTATTTCCCGTCACTTCCTCAAATTCTGATTCCCACTCTCAACTTCATCGATTCTCTCAAGTTTCTTATCCAGTTGAAGGCTTATGAATCGTTTTTCCCAGAAGACCGAGCTTGCATGTGCAGTTCGGGCCGAAGACCTACAGACTCAAATCTAACCATACTTTTATTTACTTAATAATCAGTCTTCAACAAGTCTATATATATGTGTGCTGATTCTTTTTTATATTGGTGGCGACAAGATTCAAATCCAAATTAAAACTTCTATATATGTTTTGATATCATATTGAATAGTGTAACTATCTTACCTAAAAGTTTAAGCTACTTGAAAAAGCATATTTTTCTTTATTTAATGATGTCTTCAACAAATTTGTCATTGCATCCTTAATATGGTAAATCAACAAATAAAATTTACGTAACTGATAGTATAAAAAAATGCACTATAATGCCTTATTCTCGCGTGTAAATGAGTGCAAAAGCACTATCAAACTTGCTGTTAAAAATTTAGGTTAAAACAAGAGCAATGTCGCAAATACGCTCAAAAAACACAAACTTCATCTTGAAAATCGAATTATTGTTTCCTTCTAGAAGTACTACCACTCTAGCTTTCGGATAAAAGGAGCTCGATGGACAAGGGAACAATAACTGGTTCCCAGCTTTTCTAACTCCCCTATTTCAATTAATGCCAGATACATAAAGAGTCAGGTTTAATATTTCCGATGAGGTAATAATTACTACTAAAAAACAGAGCCCGTAAAACTGATTAACAAAGAAAAATAAACCATGCTCAATATCCTCGGAAAAGAAAACGCAAAAGAATTGGATTAGATCTAGTCCTTTGATTTTACTAGTTTTACAACGATACCAGACCAATGTTTCAAAGAGAGAACAAAAGAAATCCAAAGGATTATCCATTATGAGAATACATAAAAGAGTTTATGTTAGTATTAACAGTGTAAAATGTTTGTCCAATCAAATTATTACTTGAGAAGAACTTAAGCGAATAGAAAGGTTTCAGTTAATTACACTGACAATATAAAATTTGATACACTGCCTATACAACTTATAGGCATCACAATAAATTAATTGTTATTTTTAACAAATTACCAATTGATGTTTAGGTTAAATATTTACACAAACAGTGCATAAAACAGAAATTTAATTTAAAAAACATTGATTATTCACTGGAAATGAATAATAAATAACTTATCGATCATAACATGTTAAATTAGATATTAACTTAAACCATGCTACTCCATAATAAATGATTAATAAAAGGAAAACAAAACATGCACATCCCTGGGAAAAGTGAAAACGAAAAAGATGGAATTCTTGCTTTGAATGAAAAAGATTTTTACTAGTTTTACAACGATAACAGACCGATGTTGCAAAGAGAGATAATAGTAAAAAAGCTAAAACTACAACTACACTACACTACACAAGTATGTGAGGAGTATTAGATGGGTATTGGGAGTGGGTTCTTTTCCCCCGATCGAGGTAGAGAGAAGAGTGCTTTTTTGAGTTGAAAAGGAGAGAGATTTACACGCAAACCCATTGGGTGGTAGCAAGCTGTTTGTTTGCACTTACTGATTGTCTCTTTTGTGCCAGTAGTTTTCAGCAATGGGGAATGGTCGATTTCTTTTCCACTTCCACATGAAATGAAATCTTTTCTTTTTCGTAAATGTCAAGAAGAGAAGTAGAAAATCTTTACATGCAGATGGAAGCAAATGATCGTGAATCATTGTTGTTGTCGTCATCGTAATCTTCACCTTCACCAACGCCAACGCCAACGCCAACGCCGACGTTTCTTGCTTCTTCATCATCATTACTTGTGTCTATCATATAGCCATTTTCATTATCATCTACGACTACTAGTCTACCGACTTCTTCCACTAGCTGTTGTTCCATCGAATCAGAATCGGAAGTGACGGCACAAAAGAGTAATGGAGGAGGCTTCATTCCTCCACCCACTATAGGAACAGCTTCTGTTAATAACTTCCCATCTCGAGGTGGTGAGAATATCACTGGCATGTATTCCTCTGCTTCACATGGGAACTTTGAGTTCTTGAAATGTTCTTTTAGTGCTTCTATTCCCTTCATGCATTTTTAATCACAAACTAATTACTCCTTCCAAATTATTATACAAGTATTTTTATTCTATCAAACTTAACTACTCATAATACATAAATAAATTCTTACGTATTCAATACTGCGGCATTGAATTATGCGACAATAATTTTTTTAGGACAAACTAAACAATGAATTTAATAGAGGGGGGTGGAACATACTTGTAATCTAGCATAAGTAACTTGACAGATTTTTCTGGAGTTGAACACCTCCCAACTTTGATGGTGAAAAGCTTTGTAGAGTCTCAAAGTTGCCTGTGGTGAAGTCATGTTCACGAATCCATATCCCACGTTGCACTTGTTACTAAACAAATATATATATATGATTACATGTTAGAACTAATTAAGGGATAAAAATTCAATCTTGATTGAAAAAACCCACATGAAATCAATGGGAAGATAAACGAAATCGTAGGAGGATTTTGGCTGCTCGCCGTCGGCAATCTGCTCGTTACAGTGAATGCAGTGGTTGTCCAGCATGTTCAGCAGCAGCTTCTGACTGCACCATACCCCAAATATATGTCAGTCAAATATACCAAAAACCAACATTATTACTGTATTTTTCAACATAAAATTAAACTAACTTTTATTAGAAATGCCGTTTGATCGGTTGTATAAGAAAAAATAACTCACATAACATTTAACTGGTGGATATTATCCCAGTAATATGTTACCTAAAATCTAGTACTCCTATATGTTATACGAGATGATATGTGAAACACAAATACGCAGTACTCCATTTATTATCAATAAACTAAAAAATAGCCTTTAAAGCAGATAATTTTTTCCATGTATTATTATTCACTCCTATATTACCGGCATTTAATTTAAACATAAAAGGAGAAATTAGAATATGAATAGATAAGGAAATTACCTGTACTTGTTGGGTATGTTTTTAATCATGACAGTAGTTCTGGTATCACTGCAATTTGATTCCATAATCGCATCTTCGTTAATTAAAAAGCGAGGATCATAATCTTTTGCCTGTTTCCATGGTTTGTTGCTCTTAACTTGTAGCAAAATTTGTTGCTTCGAAGAAGAAGCTGTAACAGTACTGCTACTGCTTGGACTAATAATACTTTTAGTACATCTTTTGGCATTCTTGATTTTGCCAGGCCTAACATTATTTGATATACACAAAGATGCCAATGAATCTTGAATTGACCCAGTACCTGAAGTCTCACTTCCACTAGGGTTTCCTCCTTTAAAATAATTTGATTTCCTCTGAGGTTTTAGTGGAGTACTTGGAGGAGAAGAATTATTATATGTTGGAGAATAATTGTAGTTGATTGAACTATGACTGAATTTGCTGCTGCTAGGTGATGAATAATTAGCTCTTGAAAATCTTCTGCTATTTCCACCTGGCCTACTGAATTCAATCAACAATTGCTTCCCATCTATCTCCTTTCCATTCATCTCCATTAAAGCCCTTGCTGCATCTCTTACATCATAAAACTCCACAAACCTTTGATGCCTCTTCATTGGTGTCTCTCTCAATTCCTTCACATGCCCTATATATATACATAAAACAAACATATGAGAAAATTGGGATATATGAATCCTCACTCACCCTTAGCAAGATGATGAAAAGAACGGAAATTAAAAGGTTGGCATACCAAAAGCTTGAAAAATATCTTTTAGATAATTAGAACAAGTACGAGAGTCCAAATTGAAAATCACAAGTGTCCCTTGGTTATTCCCATCAGGAAGACCAGAAGTCAATGGGAAAGTAAACTGAGCCCAAATAGCTCTTCCAGCAATGAGCCCACGCGCCGGGGGAGGGAGTGGGAGTGGAAGTGGAAGAACTAAACCACCCATAGAATAAATAGACTCCTCATAATGCCTCCTTAAACGACACTGCTGTTGCATGTTCTGTTCTTGAATCTCCATCAACGCTGCCCGCGCGTGCCTCAAATCATAAAAATGAACCGTTACAATCCCTTCTCTTAATCTTCCCATTTGCACTGCTCGAACATCTCCAAAAACTTCCAAATCCCTTCTCACAATTGACTCACTCACTTCAACTGGAACCATACTTAACAACAAAGTTCTTGTAGCCATTGAACTTGGAGGTGGCAAAAAGGGCGTAGGCATAGGTGGGTTTGAGCTAACGTACGCCGTGTGTGTAACTTGATGGTATCCTACACCATCACCGTATGGCAACTGTGGTGGACATGGATAAGTAGGATAGTAAAATTGATTAGGGAGCAAAGGTAGAGAATTGATATGGGGTTGGTGAAAAGGATATCTTGGTATGAATTCTTGGGCTCTAGGATCAAGATTCCCATGAACCAAACCATCGTCCTCCATTTTTTCTACCGGAGAAACAAATAAATTTATCAGTACAGATGGGTTTAGTTCTTTGAATCTATGAGATTGAGATTGGGTTTTTTTTTCTAGGAAATTTGGCTATGTTATATACGGTGGTGCTACAGTGCATATAATAGATGATGATAATCTCTTTGGTATTTGCTTACTCTATCTAGTTTTCTCTCTCTAGGGTCTATGTTTAGAAGCAGACTCTATACACTGGAGTCTCTAGAGTCTTGTCCATGTAGCACTAGAGAGAGAGAGAAACCAATTCAAGAATGTTAAAAGAACAAATGAGACGACTAATGCACGACCATCTTTTCAACCAAATTTTGCTTCAAATGTTTTGGGACTGTCAAATGATATATTGAAGTTACCGAAATACCCCCATATATTTTATTATTTATACATACAGATTTTAAAAAGACTAAAACACTTTTTTTCTTTTTAGTTAGTCCAGAAAAACAATAATTTCGTATATTTGCTACCACTTAAATTTACTATCGGATGGTTTCTAACTTCGTAAATTTCTATGGTAAGTTTTAACAAGTTTCAAATTTTTTTCACATTTACTTAAACCAGGACAAAGGGACTAATGTAGTAGTGTGTATGGTTTTTTTAACTTAGTTTTTAATGAGTAAATTTCATGGGTGGTCATTCAACTTTGTGTTCATTACCAAAAAAATTTTTTTTTTTTTTGTTACCTAAAAGTCATTCAATTTTGTGTTCATTACCCAAAAGTCATTTTTCTTTCTTTTGTTACATAAAAATCATTTTACCATGCTTAGTTATCATAATAATCACTTTGACCAAATTTTACAAATCTTTCACCTGAAAAATCTATTATGTCCTTGATATTATAAATTTTCTCATTTATGTAATACCTTCTATATAATGGAATATACTTTTACCCAGGTATTTTACTTATAATTAAAATAACTTAATATTATTTTATTTATTATTTTTATAATATATTCGTACATTTAATTTTTCTTAATATTAATTTTCAAGATATATAAGTAGCATAATTAAATTTGTCAATAACATTACAGTGAACAAATCTCAAGTCCATGTTCTTAATCATGCTTAATAAAATATGTTTAATGAAAATTAAAAAATCAAAACTCATTGATTTATCAGCCAAGCCATACACATTAATTTAATAAATAAAATACCCGCATATAGCAAAATGACACATCAAATTAATACTTTCAAATATATAATATTAACAGATAAAGTTTTAAAAAAACTTGATATTAAAACAAATATCTTTGAAACCTTTTTTAAAATTTTATTGACTATAAAAAACTATCATTTGTTAAACAAATCTGTTTTTATTATTTTAAATAAATATTAAAAAATATATTAAATTGAGTGTCATGAAAAAATTAAATGTATGAATATATTATAAAAATAATAAATAAAATAATTTAAATTTATATTAATTATAACTAAAATACATAAGTAAAAATATATTATATATTATATAATATATAAGATATTACATAAATGAGAGGATTTATAATGTCTAGGACATAATAAACTTTTCAAATAAAAGTATTATAAAATCTGGCCAAGGTGACTTTTGTGATAAATAGAGCAAAATAAAATAATTTTTGTGTAACAGAAAAAGAAAAGTGAGTTTTGGGTAATGAACATAAATTTGAATGATTTTTAAGTAACAAAAAAAAGAAAAATAATTTTTGCGTAATGAACATAATAAAGTTGAATGATCACCCATAAAATTTACTCGTTTTTAACTATATCAGGTTTATTTAATAATTTTACTATGCAATGTTGCTATCAGTGCAAGATTGTGATTTTTCATCCTTGCATAAATTTTACTGGGTGATACATGTATAACTAAGGAGTAGTTCTTTTTGCAGGGATGTTATATTTCTTTATCTCCAAATATTTACTCTTTTTAGTGTTTTGAAGTAACAAAATGAATTAATTTAATTCGATTTTAGTTTCAGAAGTTTGGTCAAACTTGATCTTGAAGAAATGAAAACAGTCAATAATAAGTGGGAACGAAAGAATTACTATCCCATTCTTTCTTGTCTTTTTTCATTTGAAGAAATTTTTAATGTACATTAATTTCAAAAAAGGAAAAAAATTAATAAGCAAAAAGTCTGGAACTACTTAATGATATCTTCAATTATACACTGTAAATTTGGTTTGACTAACGGAGTCATCTAAACTAATTATAGAATTTCCATCAAGTTTGTTAATTTAAAAGGAAGTACACAAAAGGAAAAATGCAAAAACACGTAAGTGCAATATAAAGTTAAATTTGGCCAGCGAAAATCCGAGCTGTTTTAAACTTGTAAGAATTGCAGTCAAAGCAAATAATATTAACAATCTTATTCTAAATTGAGTAACTGGTCTGTATATATCTAATGTTTTTCTAAATTTAAAGGATCAAATTATTATTTCAAAAATACTCTATTAATAAGTTTTGGACCGATCAAAATTAGATGATTAAAAAGATAAGCACAATCCAGTTGCTAGATAATGCAAAACCATTATTATTCTCTTATGTCATAATCAGTTAGATTTGAAAAAAAATGATTGTGGATCAGGTTGTTCTTCTAAACCAAGGAAAAAAATAAAACAAAAAAGAGAACAGTAGGACAGGTTGTTTACGTGAGGAAGATAATAATTGCTCTGAGTAAAGAGTACTTTTTCATGTGTCTATTTTGACTACTCACTCCATATTTGGCTTTATATTTGCTGTACACATATTATAGAAGTGACTCGTTTTTGTTCTGAGTCTTTCTGAGGGATTAAATACTTTGTTGCTTACTTATTTTTCGTCAAAAAATAAAAAGATTTTTGCCTAAAAATTTCTTAAAATTTAAATTATATGAACTTTAACTAATATTTTAAAATATATTTTTAATCATATTGATATGAGAAGTACTTTTAGATATTTAAATTTAAATTTTAAAATATTAAGATTATTTTAATTTCGAAAATTAATCAAATTAACTCTACAAAAATGAAATTGAAATAACGAAGTACTATTTAGTTTCATTAGCAGATGTATCTAGTACTCGCTACTTTCGGTTTGAAATTATATACTAAGTTCATATTTTCTGTCACAAAATAAATAGTGAACGTAATACAATATTTCGTATGTACTATCTTTAAATTTTAAATCTATTTTGTTGGGAGACATCGCTAGTAAACTGGATCAATCTTTTGACTTTAATTTCAAATAATAAATTTTGGTAATGTCCGGAGGCAAAAGGTGTGTCGGTTGCTTATATTAGGGTGATTAAAGACATGTATGATGGAGTTAACGCTACTAAAAAAATTAGGTTTTAGCGACGGACAAATTCTGTAGCTAAACAGAAAAATGCGTCGCTAATCTCATTTAGCGATGGATTAGCAACTGATTATCAAGAAATTCTGCTAACTACGAGCGTTTTAGCGACAGATTAGCGACGACGTTCGTAGCTAATTCTAATTTTTTTTTTATAGTGTAAGACTCGGATCATGACAGTAGGAGGCGACTCAGAGCATTTTCCGGTTGCTATGTGGTTGCACCAAGGGTCTGCGCTTAGCCCATTCCTATTTGCCCCGGTGATGGATGCACTGACACGCCATATTTAAAGGGAGGTGTCATGGTGTATGTTATTTGCTGACGATATATTTCTGATTGATGAGACCCGAGTAGGCGTCAATGAGAGGCCGGAGGTTTGGAGACAGTCCCTTGAGTCTAAGGGCTTCAAGTTGAGCATGACTAAGACGGAATACCTGCAAGTTCAGCGTCGAGCCAACGGAAGCGGGATTGGACGTGAGGCTTGACTCTCATGTTAGGTTAGGAGATAGTTGGGCATATTTCTACGATGCACTAGAGTGAGGCTAGTCTGTTTAGGATTTAGTCTTAGATTGCTAGTGGTTAGTGTTGAGTTCTCATTACTCTTTCGTCCTCTTAGTGCCGGGCTTTGTCTATTGGTTATTATTTTGCTTTTCAGCTATTTTCTGGTTCTTGCCATGCTGTTATTTTTTTCTATATTTTTACTGATGGTACTGATATATTGCCTCTTTTCGTCTTCTTGAGCCGATGATCTTTCGGAAACAGCCTATCTACCCCTCGGGTAGGGGTAAGGTCTGCGTACACACTACCTCCCCTGACCCCACTAGTAAAATTTTACTAGGTCGTCGTCGTTGTTGTTATTGTTGTTGTTGTATATTTCGGTGCATATTTGAACTTTACGTTGGCCTAATTAACCTCATGAAGTAGATAATTTAATAGTCTCGACCCCCCGAACGCTGACAACCCATGAGAGTGTACATGCATGGTCACGTGATTTGTTTTGGCAATAATTTTTTTATTTAGTTAAAGATATTAATATTTTTATCAAGTTATTTTGATAGCTCCATTATTTTGGCTAAAAATGATGAAATTCCAAATAAATATTTTACAAATTTGACCCAAAGAAAAATAAATATACAATTAAAATAAATAGTCATTGCATGAGAGAAGAAATAAATTTATTTTTTATCTCTAAAATATACATTATTTGAACTTCAATAATTTGGCTACACCTTCTTTTTATTTGGCCAAATTAAAATAATAAAATTTCTGCTAAGATTTACATACTTGGCCCGAAAAGAAGAAGAAGAAGAAGAAGTATATAGTTGGAACAAATAGTGATGGTATCTAACGAGAAAAAAATATAACTGGGATAAAATATGCAATGTTATTAAAAAGAAGTAAGAAAAAATAAATCATTGTTGGAACAAATAAATCAATATATTTGATTATGTTACAATTAATAGATGAAAATTACCCCACTTGAAAGTTGATTTTTTTCTTCTAATTTTCTTCCTTCTGCATGCCTGAAAGAGAGTGTATTCACTCTCCTTATCACATCAATGTACAAGGGGCGGAAGCTATGAGATTGCCAAGTTAAAAGGTATAAATAAGCCATCGTAAAATTTAAATGTGGATTAAATAAAAGCTATGAAATTCAGGGGTCCGATCTATTCTGCCTTTAACTTTAACCAAATATAATCCAAAGGTCTTCTTGGTTTTGTCTGTTTGACTCACGGAGACTCGTTTTGCTGTTGCTGTTTTAATGTAAAGACTGGTCCTGGATTTTGTTTCTTTACAGAATACAGAATCCACCTACAATGTGAAAAAAAATGTATTTGCTCCAGGTCTTCCAGCTAAGAAAAAGAAGCAAAAGACTGTGTAATAGCACAAAAATAAGACGAGCTAATAGTAAAATTCTGAAATATTGATGTGC